GGCGGGGAGGTGACGGGCGCGCTCAGCGCCGCCTTCAGCGGGCCCAAGATCGCCTTCTACGTGGGGCTCAAGAGCCCGCACGAGGGCTACGAGGTGCTCAAGTTCGACGACGTGGTCACCAACCTGGGCAACCACTACGAGCCGGCCACGGGCAAGTTCACGTGCCAGGTGCGCGGCATCTACTTCTTCACCTACCACATCCTCATGCGCGGCGGCGACGGCACCAGCATGTGGGCGGATCTCTGCAAGAACGGGCAGGTGCGGCCCCGGCCCCTTCCCCTTCCCCTTCCCCTGCCCGCGGCCCCCTGCCCTGCCCGGCCCTGCCCTGCCCGGCGCGTCCCCCCTCCCCTCCCCTTCCCTCCCTCCCTCCTTCCCCGGGGCTCCCCTCCGTCCCCTTCCCTTCTTCCCCAGGGATCTCAGCGCTCCCCTTGGAGGCTTCCCTCCATCCCCTTCCCTCCCTCCTCACTGCTTTCCAGCTCCTGGCACCCCCTCAGCCCCTTCCCCGCTCTCCTCGAGGTGATGCGGGGGATCCCGGAGGGCAGACCTGGGGGGAGGCTGGGCATGGAGGGAGGGGGCTGAGCATGGGGGGGCGGGCAGAGAGCAGGGAGAACTGGGGCGGGGGGTGGGAATAAGGGCAAGAGGGAGGGGAGGAAAGAAAGATGCTTATCTTGCTGGGATCATTTGACCCCTGCTGACTTCCTGCCCCTTGGGCAGGGGGCTGGAGCTGATGATCTTGGGGAGGTCCCTTCCAGCCCTAGTGGCTATGAAATCTGTAAGGGGCTGGAGGCAGGGGGAGCTTGGCCACAGGGCGAGGCGGGGCTGGGAAGGAGCTGCCAAGGGGCATTGCCTGGGGGCAGGAGGAGGGGATTGAGGGGCTTTGGTGGGGACTGGAGGAAGGGGCTTGTTGAGGGTGGGGGAGACAGAGGCTCTAGGTGCCAGGAGAGGCATGCTGGGTGTTAGGTGCCAGGAGGGGAAGCCTGGGAGATGCGGGGGGGGGCAGATGCCCTATGTGGCAGAGAGACTGAGCCCTCTGTGGCTGCTCTGCAGGTGCGGGCCAGCGCCATCGCGCAGGACGCGGACCAGAACTACGACTACGCCAGCAACAGCGTGGTGCTGCACCTGGACTCGGGGGACGAGGTGTATGTCAAGCTGGACGGTGGCAAGGCACACGGGGGCAACAACAACAAGTACAGCACCTTCTCGGGCTTCCTCCTGTACCCCGACTAGCCCAGAACCCCAGCGAGCCACCGAGCGCCGTGGCCCACCGCCTGCTGCGGGCCACGTTAGCTGCATTAGCCATCTGTACGTTTTGTTTTGCGGTGGAGGCGAGCGAGCTCATCCCTCCCCACAGCCACAGTGCATCTGTCCCCGTGTGTGTCACTAGGAGTTCAGCTGCTGCTTGAAGCGGACTAGCACGTGTCATGGGCCACGGGGGGGAAGCCACGGACTGCCGAGCCCGGCCCCCTGCACGCTGCGCCTCCCTGCGGTCACCGGCCAGGCTCCTGGCGAGGTGGGCTGGCCGGCCACATGCACCGGCTCTTCCTTGCTGCTTTTGTTTGTATAGGGTCAAGTGTAACTTTTCGTTTACGTGCAATGCAATCCTCGTGTGAATGATGGTGTCATGAATCCTGCTGTCCCCGGCTGCCCGACCAGCGCATCACCAACGACGGCAACAACAACAACAAATCACATTAAATTATGTTTTTAGACGATGGTTTCTTACTGTGTGTCTCTTCCGAGGCTGCATGGGGAGGGGAGCGAGGGGGAGGGCTGCATGGGAAGGGTCACTTCATGTTTGCAGAAAAGTTTTAGGTTAGTGAGTGGATGGCGATGGGTAAAGTTTCTCCGTCCTGCAGTTGTAAGGGAAGAGGGTGCATCCCATCACCTGGACTGAGAGGGGCCCAAAGGAGAGGACCTGGGCAGGGAGGTTTTACAAGGTGCGTGGCCCTGCTCCAGAGACAACCAAAGTTCATTTGACTTCAGGCCCTTTATCAGGCACTGGGTGAAATCACTGACATTTAGGCTAAAAACAGACAACTGGTTTATCCGAGGACAGAGACTTTTCTCTTGGAATCCTACAGGAGGACAAGTTCATTCTCTCACTTCAAGTAGCTGAAGTATTGGAGTTAACACTGAGCCCCGGGCAGTCAAGGTTAACGGGAGTTAATTGCCATTCAAGCGGCATGTGTAAGGGATTGTCTTGGCCTGTTTTGATGCGAGTCAAAACCCAGGACAGTCAGCCAGCGGTTTATACCAGCGTCTGTTTTTAGCCTGATAGAGTGATTGCCAGGAAGAAGTAAAGGAGGACTCGAGTGTGAGTGTAAAGGTCAATATGCAGTAAGCATAGATGTCTAAGTGTATCTGTGTGAATCTGGCTTTACACACATGTGCACACACGCACAAACCATGCCAAATCCAATGTGGTCTCTTTTTCTTCCATTCCCTTGAGAATCTGAATAATTGCAGACACTCGCTTCTTTTAAAATGACACACGTGAATATATAATTGCACAGCCAATCCTACCCCCTGGTACGGGGGTGAATCTCACACACCAGCCCAGATCCTCTGCTGGTGTAAGTTGGGGTTGCTGCGTGACTGCTGCCGGGGGTCTGGGCCACTCCTTCGCTCTTCCCCTCTCATTCATCTCTCGTTCTAGGCTTGATTCTCTTAGCGCGCAGAGATTTTACACAAGGAGACTTCCATTGGCTTCAATGGAGTTACACCTTGTTACCCTGTGCGTGGAGTCAGACTCGGAGCTCCCACTGGCACAGGGAGGTCCTGCCCTCGCCACCGCCCTGGGAGCTAATGGGATCATAGCCGTGATGAATTTATTGCAGCAATGGTTTGGGATTGTACAAAGATCATCAGGTCACTGAAGACGACTCGGTCTCTTACCTAGTCCTCAGCATGTATTGCTGCTTTACTGATCAGAGAAGAAAGGCCAAATTCAGCTTTGGTGTCGGAGAAAGCTGTTCCCTCGTTCTATGCGAAGGGACCCCTCCTTGCTCAAGCAGGAGGATGAGTTCATGACCAGGTACATGTGTTATACACTTATCAATCTCTAATGTCTTGTTGATTGGATCATCTAGAATATGATTAAAGCCAATGTCTGGGACCCAAATGAAGTATAATTGCAATGGAGCCTCAATTCCCACTGGGCCCTTAATCCTTTTTGACTATTCCTCTCCTCCCCCTGATGAGATGGAGTTTAGACACAAAGCCCTCAGTTTAAATTTCAAAAATTAAAATTGACATGCAGCAGCATTACCAAGAGCCAGGAGGAATTCTAAGGAGGTGCCTGGGCTCTGCTTTATCCTTTGCATTAAGAAGCAATTTGTACTTCTAACAAAGACCCAACTGTTCCCCCTTGGCAAAAGGGCAATGAAGATGCCTTGCAAGGGAATTGCTGTTCACAATACTTAAACAAATTTGAATCTTAGATTCTTAAATCTGTATTCCCTGGTGGAGCCTGCTCCTTGCAATTCAAATGCAGGGCTGTCGGTGAGTGCCTGCCAAGGTGGCAGCTGCTAAGAGGATGATGGATTGATGAGGCAATGGGAAGACAGGCTTGCAGTAGCACTTTGCCCCGACAGTGATCTATGTATCTGCACATTATCAATGTCATGAGGAGGTTTGAACTGCCCTCGCTAGATGTCTCATTTTCCACTTATCTCCCATGTACTAATTATCAGGCTGGATTATTCCCTGGGATGGAAACAAAAATGCTCATTGCCACTCCAGTGACAGTTTATACAATCAATACAACGAACGTTTCCCTCAGTTACTCTCAGTCTTCTCATTTGCCTCTTCTCACTGCAAAGACCTTTGCAACTGCTACAGGAAGGCTCGGACGGCTCTCTCTTGATGCCTGTTGGAGAAGCACGAAGGCAGGCAGTTCTAGTTTATTTTCAGGGTCTTACTATGGTTACCGCAGTGCTGGGGTGCATTCCTCTGAAGCAGGCACCTCAACATGGGGAGAGCAAGATGCTTGCTTGCAGATGAGAGCATTGGCTAAATGACAAAGGCAGTGCTGCCTGTGGGATGGCAGGGCTGGGAGAACTTCCAGCTGCAAGATGCCCTCCCTAGTTGTGTGTTTTCAAGGAAGAACAGAGCCCTACTTCCCTTTAGAGAGGTTTAGTGGATAGTTACCACCCACTGGGGTCTTGAAATTAATCCGGTGGGGTCATGTGTTTCTGGCTGGACTTGGAGTCCACGGGATGCCAAGCTGCCATGTACACTGCGTCCGCTTGACTGTGACAGAGAAGGACTTCTCCATACGTGGGTGACTAAAGCCACGGTGTTGAACAGGGACGCACTGCTCACTGGTTGCCCTGGGTTCTGGGCTGCACACCCCATGTATCCCCAGATTTCCTTTGTCACTTGGTGGAGGCGGGAACATGCAGCCTCTCTGAGCCTCAGTTCCCCATCTGTAAAATGGGGATAATAACATTTCCATCACAGGAGTGTCATGGGACTAAATACATTAAAGAACATGAGATTCTCAGATATCATGCTAATGGGGCCCATAGAAGTACCTAAGGTAGTTGGGAGCTATGGATGCTCGACCTGTCAGAGAATTCATGCCACTCTTATTTAGGTGTCTAATGTTGGGTCTCCAAGTTCAAAAAGTCTGGTCTCTGCCCTGGCTTCCTGAAGCTACTCAAGCACTGTACGCCTAATCGCGTGGTGCCCTGCCATGCAGGGGCACCCTCAAGCCAGGGATAGAGGCCCAGGTTGCCCATACAATGCATGGGGGCAGTTTGGTGTTTCTGGAAGGGATCCTCAGAAACCAGCAGGACAGTGAGACACCCAAGTGAGACAGGAAATGCTGAGGAGGAAAAAAGCACCTCCCCCTACTCAGGATCCTTAACCTTGTCTGAAGCTAGGCCTGCAAGCTGGGTCAGCCTTACTGTCCCATCAAAAAAGGAAATCCCAGAGAGCGAGAGACCTGAATAGGCAGTGGTTCAGTGATGCAAATGCCCACCTGAGATGTGAGAGCTGGAGGGGAAGGGTGCTGTGCTGCTTTGTCTCCACCCACCTGGAGCTGCATTGGCTATGTTGTGTTCAGAGCATGCACATGAGCAGACGCCCTGCTTGTTGAGAGAGGGGTGGGGGATGCCTTGTTGGAGAATCCTGCTCCCGGGCTTTGGCTTGGACTCACCTTTCAAACAGCTCCTTAGTTATGGGACGTCAGCAGCAGCTTTTTGCACACCAGCTGCTGAATGGTAGGGACCTATAGCAGCTAAGCAGTGATTTTGAGAATATCAGTGGTGTTTAAATAGTGGATTTAAGTGTTTGAAAGACAGCTAGGCACCTACATTCCCCCTGTGACTCTCACTCCTAAATACCTTTGAGTATCTAAGACAACTGTGAGGTGCTCAGTACTTCTAAGGATCAGCCCCCCTTGATGCACCTGAGCTGTCCCTGGCCATATTGGCTTGGCAGGGGGGAGAGAGAGCAGTGTGCGAGGGTCTTGGCTCTGTTGTTTTTGCCTTGAGATAAACGGTTTTGGTCTTTATGCTTAATAGCTTTACATGTGTATATTGATCTGAAATCTGCTCAGAAGCCTCCTGTTTCTGCGTCTTGCCCTGGACATTATACTTTGTAATTTAATGCTTGTGTGTTTCCTTTACACATCAGTGGACTCCGATGCCCAGGATAAGTTTATCTGTGAGTTAACGAACTGGGGAATATATTTGGTGTGGATATTAATTCTACACCTTCCTGTTTTAGCCACAGAATAATTATATTAAAATTATAATTATACTACACAAGTATATTAGAAACTCCCCTAAAGCAAGAATCTTTGAGGGTAGAGGGAAACCAGTTTGTAAGCCTTTTTTTGCAAACCAAAGCTCTGCAGTTTGCAGAAATTTTAAATGCAGTTTATATATATATATATATGTAGTTATAATTTTAAATTTTAAATGCAGTTTTATATATATAGATATATATATAGATATAGATATAGAGCTCTCTCTCTCTCTCTCTCTATATATATATATTTATTTATATATATTCCCGAGGTTTTCAAATTTCATGTGTGCGCAGAAACTTGTTTGATAACAAAGTCTGGGAAGAATCAGTAACACAATCTAATCAAACTTGGTTCTGTCACTAAGAACATTTAAGAACACCCTGGGCACATTTACACGAGATGTTTACTGCGCAGTAGACTAATTTACTCTGCAGCAGGATAGTACTTGTAAATACAAGTACTATATATTGAATCTATATACAAGTAAATACAAGTACTATCCTGCCGTGGAGTAAAAAACTCTTCAGCTGTGCACATGTAGACACCACCCCAGCTGGCTGGGGCATGAGGGTGCTTCAGTGTCGGGGCAGCCTCCCTGCTAGCCCTGTGCTGAAGCACCCTTGTGCCCCAGCCATCCTCTCCGTAGCATGTTGAGCCAGGTCAGAGCAGCCCCAGGCTGACCCCCCCGGACACCCTATCAGCCAGGGCTGCTCCAACCCAACTCAACATGCTGTCATCCTGGGTGCGCATGTAAATATGCACCTGGGAGAAATAAACTCCAGTGTGATAAGTACTGGAGTTCATTGCAGCACATTAATATGCATGTGTAGCTGTGCCCTTGTGAAGCTGACCTGGTGGGTTCCTGCTGGTCTACAAAGGTCCTAAGGAATAGGAAAGGCAAGAAGCCAAAGAAGAAAGCT